ATATATATATATATATATATATTACCTCAACCCAATCATTTGTTACTTCCTCTTCAATTGTGTCTAACATCCAATTCATCATGTAGTATCCATATTTGTAACCTCCTTATTGAAGATTAATCTAAAATAATACCAAATTGAGTTGTATAAGTAATTTTTAATTAAGCTAATAAAAAGTATTTTTAGGCATATCGAGATTACAAACTACTTACCATGGGATAAACTAATTACTTACTAAGTGCATGATTAACTTAATTAGATAATTTATTGCGAGACCTTTCAAATCAAAAGAAAAGGAATCCTAAAAATTAAATATAAATCAAGTACTTTTCTAATCCTTTCTTTCCTTATCTTAAATATGATAATCTCTAAATCATGACTTTCAAATAGGGATTCAAATTGTAAGTCAAAGGACTAATTTTCCAGTTGGGCAAAGTAACAAAGCATGTTACCAACAAAATTTACAGATGGCTAATCACAACAACTTAAACAAAAACAATTACTTACCTCTCCTAAAGGTATCATTTTAAACTGCTCAAGAAAGAGCTTTTGGCTGAAAAACTAGTTTTGAATGCAAATAAAGCTAATCAAAACATGTTATATACTTTACGGACCTCTAGTAAGAATGTTTCCCCACTAGAAAGAAAAATAAAAGAGAACAAAATATTCTCTTTTTATGTATTTACAACAACCATACACTAACAACGGTCCAAGCATTATGATTATCTACAAGAATAATAGTATTCTAATAATTAACAATACTAAAGAGAAAACGGATTCGAGATCGCAAGATTGGAAAGAAGCACAAAACCTTTTGCAATGAACTTCGTCGGGGAACGAAAGATATTTGATTAGGACATGTCCTAAACGAAAACCTAAACCAAAAAGCAACTTTAGATTTCATAAAAAAAAAAATTAAACAACCAAATAGGAATAAACATGCAAGAAAAATAATCAACAAGGCTTACTGGCATGGGACTACAAGAAAATGGTGAATAAGCAGCGAAAAATAAGCGTCGAATAATAGTTGATGCAAATAGTGTCGGAAAAGTCGACGCTATTCTTTAAATACAGCATCAGCTTTTTCGATACTAATTTAATTTAAATTTAAATTAAGTTAGTGTCGGAAAAGCCAATACTATATTTAAAGAATAGCGTCGGCCCTTTTCTCCTCACTCAATGAGGGACTATGATAAGACTTTAAGCATCCAACGAGAGTCCTATTTTTAAAGAATTTTGATTTAGTTCTTTTAAAACGAAGTGTTTGGTAACCTTAAGGTATAAGTTGATCATAAATGTTGTAGGAAATTAGATGATGATTATTGGTGATTAGAGATGAATGATAATGAATTCAAGAGTAACTCACTCAATGAGGGACTATGATAAGACTTTAAGCATCCAACGAGAGTCCTATTTTTAAAGAATTTTGATTTAGTTCTTTTAAAACGAAGTGTTTGGTAACCTTAAGGTATAAGTTGATCATAAATGTTGTAGGAAATTAGATGATGATTATTGGTGATTAGAGATGAATGATAATGAATTCAAGAGTAACTCACTCAATGAGGGACTATGATAAGACTTTAAGCATCCAACGAGAGTCCTATTTTTAAAGAATTTTGATTTAGTTCTTTTAAAACGAAGTGTTTGGTAACCTTAAGGTATAAGTTGATCATAAATGTTGTAGGAAATTAGATGATGATTATTGGTGATTAGAGATGAATGATAATGAATTCAAGAGTAACTCACTCAATGAGGGACTATGATAAGACTTTAAGCATCCAACGAGAGTCCTATTTTTAAAGAATTTTGATTTAGTTCTTTTAAAACGAAGTGTTTGGTAACCTTAAGGTATAAGTTGATCATAAATGTTGTAGGAAATTAGATGATGATTATTGGTGATTAGAGATGAATGATAATGAATTAGAGAGTAGATGTTCAACTTTTTTTTATGAAACTTTGAGCTTAAGTCACTACTAAAAAAATGTTATTTTTCTGTGAATTTTTCTAAAAAAAATATTTGCATAATTTTTTTGCAAATTTTCTTGCAATAATAATTTCACAAATTTTTTTATGAATTTATTTGCAAAAAATAATTTACAGATATTTCTTACAAATTTTTTTATAAAAAATAATCTACAAGAAATTTTTACAAATTTTGCTACAACTTTAATGATCATGGAAAAATTTTTCCATGGTAAAAGTTTGCATAAAATATTATAAGAATTTTATTTTATTTCTTGCAAATTTTCTTACAAAAATATATTCGCAAGTAATCTTTACTAAATGGTAGAAAAATTTCACAGGTAACTTTTCCTGCGAGTTTTCCTACCAATTTTAATCTGCAGGAAAATAAAAAAATATATTTAAATTTATAAGTTTAATATTTAAAAAAAAACTTCAAGTCCCACATTGATTGAAAATAAAACAATTACGATCTTAGTGTTTAAAAGATTATGTATCACATGTTGAATTTGTGGAAACAAATGTTTCGGATGAATTCATTATGGGCATTTGAAAGTTGAAGAATTATTGATAGAATTTGTAGTAATTTCTTTAATTTTTTTCATAAAAATATTCTTAAAGAATTTCTTGAGAAAAAATTCGTAGAAAACTTTCCTGCGAATTTTTTTTGCAAGAAATTTTGCATTAAAATTTCTTGCAAATTTTAAAATTCGTAAAAGAAAAAACATATTATCCATAAATATATTACCTACAGATAAAATTTCGCAGAAAAATTCGTAAAAATAATATTTGTTGCTGATTTTAATACAAAATTTGCAAAAAAAAATCGCATGTAATAAGAGAAATTCTAGTAGAAAGTTTAAAAGGTAATGAATAGCATTGTGAAATTATCAAACAAAATAAAGAATGATAGAAAAAAATCTTCTAAATAATGATAGTAACAGTAATTATTATTTAACTTCATAGAATTACATTGAAAAGCGAATTAATTGTCGCAGTTGCCACCAGGTCCTCCAAATTGGAGAAAATGTCCAACATGTAGATGTGGTACATATCCATAGTATTCAACATCATAGCAATTAGAATTGTCGGTAAATAGTTTTACTTGCTTTCTATCGGGCCCTTCGTCTCCTAATGCATCTCGAAATGAGACAAATCTAAAATAACATGCATGATCACGGTTATCATAACTGTCAGGAAAATGTCCGGATCCCATGGGAGGACTAGGAGTACCAGGAGGAGTTCTTGTTCTCCCACCCCACCCCACCCCATCAGCAGAGGCCAAGTTGGAAAACAATTTTGCAGGAAAATATCCAACATATTTGCCATCCAACTCTAACCACCAGTTTTTGGTCCCTGGGTCCTGAAAAACATATATAACTTTTTATTTCTGTATGACATTATATGTATCGTACAATATTACAAAATTGTCGTTGTATTTACTTAAGAATGTATCATTGAGAAATTAAAATAAATATTAAAGGCATGAGTTATATATAATTATGTCTTTTTTATGATGAAAAGTTTATAACATGAACACGACCTGAGCAATAGAAAGGTTGACCTCGTACATAGTTCCACCATATGTAGATGTATTGTGTACACGTGCTCCAAGATAAATTCCTTTGCTAGTTTGAACAAAACCTGGACATCGAATATTATAGCATCCTGTCCTCTTGTAATTATCTGACTGTCATTTTTAAACATCAAATTAAATTTTGAAGAAATGAAACATGTAACATCCCAAAAATAAGAATAATTACATTAATAATATAAATAAATAAGTAAAAGGCTAAATTTTATTTTGGGAGTTGCTACGGTACCTCTAAAATTGAGGGGTTTTAATATATTTTTTTATGTAAATTTATAAAAAATTTAAAAAATTAATTTAATTATAAAATAAATAATTTAAATTATACTTATAAAATAAAAAGTAAGATAAAATTATAGAAATTAAAATTATAAGATTTTAATAATATTATAAAATATTAAAAAAGGAAAAATTAATAAATAGTAGAAATAAAAAGTTATTAAAATTACAATATAGAAATTCAAAAATTTAAGACAAAAAAATAAAAAATATACTTAAAAAATTATTAAAATTAAAATATAAAAATTCAAAAATTTTAAGTGAAAAGATAAAAATATACTTAAAAAATTATTAAAATTAAACTATTTAAATATATAATAATATTATTACAAATAAATTAGAATATATAAAATAAAAATAAAATGACTAAATAATTTAAAAATTGAAAGAATAAAATATCATAAATATTATTTAAATAAATTATTAAAAATATAAAATATAAAAGACTGTACCGGTATCCTCTCAAATAAGATGGGTACCATAGAATTTCTCTTTTATTTTTAGTCTCCTATTACCTATATATATCAAAAAGAAATATCTTATTACCTATAATATCTAATTCACAATCTGTTCCTCCAATTTTTAATTTTGCAATTTGAATCCTCAATTTTATAAAATTCATGATTTTGGCCAAGCTAAACGCTAAATATCCATTTATTTATCTTTAAAATGTTAATATTGATCATGATTTAACATTAAATAGATTCTATGAAATTAATATTTAATAATATTTAAATTAAATTATATTTCATTATGTATTTTTATCCTATAAAAGTGAGACAGAGAGAAAGATGAGGAATAAAAATAGATTTTAACCTAAATACAATTAAATAGATATTGGTCAATGTTACAATTTTATCAACTAACAATTGATATTTATTGATAGAGCAAAAATTTTAAATTTTATAAAATTAGGAATTAAAATTACAGAATTAAAAAATAGAAAAATGAAAATTAAGGATTGGAACTGAGATTATAGTATTAGTTATTATACAAATATTTTTCGATCAAATATTTGAATAGTAATTATAATTTTCAAAATGTTGTATGATTTATAATAAGGTTTAAATATATTTTTAGTCCTTCAAATTTAGGGTAAATTTATTTTTAGTCTCTCAAATTTAAAATTGTTCTTTTAATCCCTGTAATTACAAAAAAAAAAATCTTATTTTAGTTATTATATTTAAATTTTGTTAAAAAATTTATCATACATTATTATATAAAAACTACATATTGGTGTCTCTGTTGGTGAAAATATCACATTAAGTCCAGTTGATATTGCATAATCGTCTTAATTTATCACTTTTAAATATGTTATTGATGACTTTAAGTACTAAAATAAGATTTTTAAAAATTACAAAAACTAAAAATAACAGTTTTAAATTTAAGGGACTAAAAACAAGTTTGTCTTGAATTTGAAGGACTAAAAATATATTTAAGCCTTATAACAATATATAAAGAAAATGCTCTTTTTTTGTGTCCACTTTTTCAAGGACAATTATATCCTTATGTTTTATTTTATTTTTTTTCCCACTAATTTATAGTTATGGATAAAATAGGGGGAAAAAATAATACATACACATATATATAATAACTACTCTCTTTAAAAATAATAACTATCCACTTTGTTTTATAAATCTCTAAAAAAAAATTTAAGGATACAAAGTGTCTTTTTCTTGCTAGATTTTTAATAACTTTAAGAAAATTAAACATATAGATTAAAATAATTTTGTATTATATAGTTAAAATTATAAATTTTTAATTTTTAAAATTTAAACAATTGAATTATAATTTTATTTTATAATTATAAGTGAATTAAATCAATTGAATAAAGTGCATTTGAAATATTAAAGTGTAAAGCAAGTATTTTTATACTAGTTCACTCAAACTGAGCTACGTCCAGTCTCTTTCAATCGAAGGGTTTTACTAGATAATTAATTAAGTGCAAGTATTGTTTATTCAACCTCTTCAAGCTCACAGTGAGTATTATAGACAACCAGGTCATGACCACTCCTGGTCCCAAGTATTCTCAACCACTTCTGGCTTGTATTCTTCACTCACAGATGCTAGTATTCTTAAATCACTTCTGGTTGTCCAAGTATTCTCAATCACTTTTAGCTCGTCAACTTCACTTGTTGACGCTAGTATTCTTTGTTCAACCACTTCTAGCTCTCAGTGAGTATTATCGACCAACTCCTGGCCCACTAGCTTTACTCACTAGCGCTAGTATTCTTTGATCAACCACTTCTGGCTCTCAATGAGTATTTTCGACCAACTCCTAGCCCATTGACTTCACTCATCAACGCTAGTATTCTTTACTCAGCCACTTCTGGCTCGTAGTGAGTATTCTTTGACAAGCCTCTCCAGGGTTTACAAGTATTCTTTCCTTAGCCTCTTCAGGCTTTACAAATATCAACTAAACAAGTTTAGTTTGAGTGTATCGGTTACTCTCATAGAGAGGATACATAAGAATATACACTTACTATGGTATGCAACCTTAGTCTTTACAACGATTGAGTGTTTGGTCTACTCTTACAGAAAGGATACATGAATTGGTACACTCACTAAGGTTTTGTTCCTAAGATGCACATGTTTGGAACTCCTTAGTTTACAAAGATGAATGCATTGTGGTACATTTGACTTTTTTCGCTCTATCTCTGGTTTCATTGCATAGTGGGCTTGATATCACTTGGTTAAGAATGCAAAGCCAAAGGCCAGCCAAAAAAGCCAACCTTCTAAGGTTTGAGATAATGATATATATTGTCTTGTAGAATATGCACATTGCAAGTATCCGTTGAAGCAGATATAGTCGTTTATGACTAGTTCAATCTACTCATTTAATGCTTGAGTTCTTGCATTAAATGTTGTCTCCTGTGATAGACCTTGCGTGAAGTCTTCTTTGTCTTGTTAGCAGCAATGTCTGAATTTAGCAGAGACCTAGGAACCTTTTTTTCTTTTCCTGGTCACATAGTTGTAGAGTGTTGTCTTTATCTGAAAAAGTGATGTACTTTTTCTAACACATGCATTTTTTTCTTTTGCGTGCTTTTCTTCTTCTTCTTCTCTTCCCTTTGATCACACGTTTATGTTGAAAGCATTCGAGTGATTATAGACGATGCCTTGATTTGTCTTTTAAGACTTGATTCTTTAAATGCTTGCGTGGTAGTCTTCATTTGCGTCTGTTGGTCCTATGCATCTCAAACTTGACTTTTGTCTAAGCATCTGAGTTTAGTGCTTTCACTTTTCTCTTAATCTGGTCAACATTACAGGTGGACAGACTTTGTTGTTTGTCTGGCATGTCTTTCAATTTGTGTTGTCCTTCATCTAATTCCTTATGTTGCACTGGAGGTTGTCCTTGACACACTTTCATTTGATATTGGACTCATAGTCGTCTGGTGCACATATTGTACTTTGTCTCTTTCAATTTGATTTGTCTGGATCTCATGATGTTCCTTGCCTTGACTGTTCTTTTATTAGAGTTGACCATCTGGTTTCATTTGATGTTTAACCCATCTCTTTATTTTTCCAAGTTTAGCCTTGTTTTGTCTTTTCGTCTGATGCTTCAATGTCTCGACTTGTAGTAGGCCTCATCTAGTGTTTGTTGAATGTTCTTCTATCTGTGATTGGACCTGATCTTGATGCTTGAGTATTCATCATCTGATTCTCTTGTTTAGTTTATCCAGGCTTCGTAGATCTTGCATTTGATCTTGCATTAAATTTTTGATTGTCGACTCTGCGTTTCACGGAGTCTTTTGTACCATTTGTTTACTTTTATGTCTGGCATCAATCATGACCTAGACATCTCTGTACTTTCCTGGCATTGTAGCTGCAGAGGCGTTGTCTTTTACTGACTGGTAGGTGTACTTGTTCTGACACATGCAACTTTGACTTGTGGATAAGCGCTCATCCATTTTTCTTTTCTCTCTTCTTTTATTTTGATGACTTCATGTGTTCTTCTGAGAGTGTGGATCTTAGGTAGCTCTTCTCATTGTGACTTCAGATGCAATCTAGCATTCTTAGTTTTCGTCTGTGGTTAGCCATGGCAACGGGGCGGGGCGGGGGTATAGACACCCAATTTCGTTCGGGGGCATACAAACAAGGAAATGGACCTCTGTTATGAAGGGAAAGAGCACCTGAAGCATGCAAACAACAAGATAGGACATCAGAAGGCCTAAAGCCCAAATAAATTGGTTTTAGTGGCCCGGAACGGGCTGTTCCAAAATTGGAACGGGCCTTTCCAATCCACAAAAAAAGGCCTAAAAACCTAGTCTGGAACGGGCCGTTCCAAAACCAGAACGGGCCGTTCCAAAACCAGAACGGACCGTTCCAAAACAGGCAAAAGGCCTAAAAAAATAGGCTAGAACGGGTCGTTCCAAGCTCCTAAAAAAGGGTTAAAAAACATTAACCGGAACGGGCCG